CTTCGGATAGATCGTATGTTGTTGCCCTTGTAGGTGTCTATGTCTCAAGTCCTCCTAAATCGTGCCCTTTCCCTTCTTCATTTGATTTAGAGGACATCAACGAGCCTGGTAGGAAGAATGAGAAGTCTATCATCTTTTTTACAGAAGCTGAAGTTATTCAACTTCCTCCTATCGTCTGAATTTGGTCGAGAAATTTTTGTATGACCATCCTAAAATGGAGCTTATTCGTAAGAAGTTTGAGCTTATACATTTTGTTGGGGAGTGGAAAATTACTTTTAAATGGAAGACACATTTTTATTCAAATTAATAATAAAGAGGATTACACTCGATTATTTGCTAGAAGGGTAACCCGATTGATAACAGAACAATGAAGATTTTGAAATGGTCTGTGGATTTTAACCCACAGACGGAACCACAATCATTATAATTTGGATTTGACTCTCTGATATGAAATTTCATTATTTTATTCAAAAAGTGTTGTACTCTGTTACCTCAGCTTTTGGTAAGTCACTCAAAACGGGCATTCCTACTTTAAATCTTTTTCGTTCATCTGAAGTTAGAGTGCTTGTTGAAAGAGACATCACTTCAACAGCTCCTGACGAAATTTGGTTGGGCACACAACACCTTGGATATTTGCAAAAGGTAGTGATCGAGCATTTTCCTTTGTATTGTTTGAACAGTTGTATGTTCGGCCAATCCAGTTCTCAATGCCACCATATATACCCCCACCACAAACCAAAAAAGCATAGTGTTCTGCTAGAGGCAGTGAATCTCTCTCCTCCAGATCAGCTCCAAGTTATTGACATTATTGTTCATCAAAAAGAATACCTCTGATGACGTCACTATTCTCGCAAGCAATATGTCAACCATTCAGTCTCCACATAATGTTGTAGTTCCACCGTTTTTGGATTCTCCTATCGTGGGGGCGAGGGAATTTCTTCAGACCCCTCTTGCTCTAGCACCTATCGTTGTTATTACAGAAAACAATACTTCTACTGTTTCTCTACCACCTCATCAAGTCGAGCAAGATGTTAATGCTATTCGGGCTCATGGGGATAATTATGTGCAACTTCCTAAATCTGTCCGGCCACATTTGGACAGATCCATTTATCAGATGAGTCAATCCTTAGATGAGGAATGACAGGTTTACACATCTAGGAGGATGAAGAAGAATGGAGATCTACTTGAGCTCAGGAATCTGATAGATGATACTTTGGTTACTTCGGGTAATGGTACGCACCTTACCAATTTGTTAGCTGACTCCCTTACGAAAACTAAAGGCAGAGGGAGGACTAAAGTGGGACGTCCCTAGCGCTTTTGCGCTAGTTGGTGGTTTTTGGTTTTTTTATCTTTATGTCTTTGTTTTATTTGAGATTTTGTGTGTTGTATTGTGTGAGTTAGGCTTTCTTTAGTGCCACTCATACAATCTTTTCCTCTTTAGTATATATATATATATAT